CCCAGCACCAGTACACTGAAGGTGTGCTCAAAGCCCTGGTAGAAACACTGGAGAGTAACTAGAGTAGACACAGCAAACCCAGGATATCATCACGTATTCCTCACAGTGGTGTATTGAGGCATCCTGTCCTTAGCAAAGCCTGTTATCCCAGTGTGGTCAGAAAGCTGCAGTTTAAGCAGTGTAATTACAGCTGCATTTGGCGCTTCCACTCCTGTCTGGATCACATCTCTTCACAACCTTTACCCACTGGCAAAACTCTCCAGTGAAGACTTGACCTGAATGAAAAGGCTGATATAAATACATCCCTAGGGTTCTGCCAGCAATTAGGAATAAGGGCGGGGGGGGAAACCCTCCGATGAATCTAACAAAGCCAGGAAACCTTTTTAAGCAGAACCAGCCTATCAGAGTGACAGAGTTGACATTTAAGGTTGGATGGACAATAGTGACATGAAAAGTGTTAAATGACCTGTTCATCTCAACAGCATATTCATTAGGCTAGTTAGGGGGCTGTTTCAAAAGCCTTCAGTTTGGACCTAGCTTCTCCCATCACTGACCCTCTGTGTTAACATGCAATAGAGATGAAGAGGCTCGATTAACCCTTCTCTAACTGTTATTATTGAAAGCTGTTTGCAGAGGTTTGATTTAGAAGTACAAGAGCTATTTTTTTTTATCTTACCATTTCAATCAAGAGTTTCACTTCAGTAAAGATGAGGAGGAATCCCTCCATCTGAAACCCTCCAAGTTCTATAACATGTGGGATTTCCATGCATGGATTTTCTGATGCCCACAGCCTGAGGCTGAATTCCAAGTCCTGTAACTATAGTAGAATATTTGTAATTGCTCACTGGGATCTCAGCCAGTGAGAATATTTCCTCTTTAACCTATGAAACAAAAAGAGTTACCTTAAATACATGCTGCAAGTAGAAAATAAAATTAGCAATGGTGTTGAGGAGCTTGGCAGCATGCAAGTTCAGAGAGACAGAGGTTAATCTGATCCCAGTTCAGCTACAGGAAACCCAATGTTCCAACAATTAAAATATTAGTCCAGATGAACAGGTGACCCCCCTAAACCTCCTAATGGGGTGGTACAGCCTGTTATCCCCTGTAGCCATATCCCATTAAGCTGACACCTCTGCAGGAGTAGGATACACTCACAGTTGCACACACAAAATTAATTATTGTCAAACACACTTCATGGGGACCGAGGTGAGAAGTTAAAATAATTGACAATTATATCAGGCAGCAGTTCAAAACCTCCTTGCAGCATAACCACAGGCAAGAGAAACAGAAACTCATGGTTACCTTCGCAGGTGGGCTCCTCCTCTTGGCTTTTTCCTTCCTTTCTGCCCCTTCTCCCCCTCCTGTTGTTGCTTCCCTTTGCACCCTGGTGCTGGCTCTGTCCCAGTGCATGCTGCCAAGTGGCAGTTGGCCCTTGCACACCTGCTCCAAGAGATTTGCCACCACAGCACATCACCTCCTACACTACCAGACTCCTGGAAACCGTGTGCCCACTGCATGCTGCCTCCTTACATCCCAGCTCATCTCTGCTCCTTCATCTAACACATCCTTCCTGCCACAATACGCTTTCTTCAGGCATCTCCTTCCATCTCAACTACCACAGGACCATCTGCTTCCATGCTTTTTAAAGAGGCACTATGCCAAACACTGTAAACACCAAGTGACCTGTTGGATGAGCAGTGAGCAAAATTTAACTTCAGAAGGATGTTTCTGCTGCTGTTTTGCATAGAAAGAACCACACTCAAAAAACTTAAAAGGTACTTAAGGAAAAAAAAAAAATCCCACAGGACAACCGGAAAGAATCCCTGCAAGATTCCCGTAGCCTTCAGAGGGAGTGGAATCTAGATAAAATTTTAAGAGAGAAGACTGTGTTTTCCTTGCACTTTAATTGGCAAATAATCAAGACCACATTCAATGCAACACAAGTTCTTGCAATCATGCTGTGACAGCAGACCAAGAATCTCTATTAGGAATCCCATGCAATTACAACCCAACAGCAGTCCAGCAAAAGACTAGGTATAAAGGGAGACATGACCCCACATTAGAAAGAAGCCAGTGATGATATGGCTAAGGTGTAGTTCAGACAGTGACACACTGAAGTGACACTAAAGGAAGCAATCAGAAGGGCTGGCACTGGGACAAGAAAGCTGCCACTGGATAGCTATTTCACAGTCCGGAATTGCTATAGTCAGAGTTGCTTTCAGATCATCAAATAAACACACAATTAACATCAATTTTCCAAAACCATGAACACCCCCCTCCACTCAGCAATATCCGAACACAAATGTGTATCCTTTTCTCCTGGGCCATCCTGCCACTGTCTCCTCTTTGAAAGATGACTAGGGCAGCACATGGCATACAGACCAGATGATACCTTTAAACAACTCACGTTCAAACGAATGAAAGAGGAGAATGTTCTGCAACGAGCATTATCTACACTCTCTCACAACATGTTTCTGAGTGAAGCTCTGTGTCTGGCCATGGTTTTAAGACAGTCTGCCTGCCTCCAGATGCCTGTCCTTGGCTAGGGAGAAGGAGGAACAAGTTTTCCCTGCAGTAACTCTGAACTAAGTGCTTGATCTCTTCCCTGCCTGGTCAGGCTGCGGGGTGCTCAGCTGTGGGAGCACATAGCGCAGACCAGCTGCTCCGCCTGGCATCTGAAGTAGGGTGAAGGTCTGGGTGTAAGAAAACAAGGAGAGTGCTGGGCGATTCCAGCCTGGTGGGGAAACAGGCTGCCTGCACAACAGGGCTCATAGAGGGATTAAAACTCTGACTCTCAGAAAAGGCATAAACGACGCAGGTCCTGCAAAGGCAGAGACTTTAGTTTCTTTATCTGTGACCTGCGGTATGCTGCTAGGACATATGATCCCCAAGAACTGCCTGTAAAGGTAGGAAATTTAAACATTGCCATATGCAGGTAGACTACCAAAAAGCAACAGGGAAAAAGATGCAAATTGAAGTTACAAGTATTTACAGTTTATGAGAATGTTTAATTGGTTGTCATAAAACCCCACCAGGGTGACACCGAACAAGATGAGTCTTGGCTTGTCTTCAGAGGGTTAGGTGGACCTTTGGTTAAAAAGGGAATGAGAAACACTGTCTCAGGAGAACCCCCAAAGTCCCTCAAGGTTCCCCACAACCTCTCTGTCCCTGCATGTTTTCTTCTTCTCATAGATCTGTTGAGAAAATACCGTTCCCTTTTCGGTATCAGTTTGGTGCTATCAGTTCACCATAGCAACTGACAGCAAACAGCAGCTCCAGCAACTGGAAGTTGTTGGCTGGCCCAGGTAGGCTCTCCTGCAGCAGCAGGCTCGAGTGACTCTGCTCTTAACAAAACCATCAGTTGCATAATTCTAGACCTAATTCTGCTAAGAGAGAATATACACAATTAACTAAATGCCACCAATTAAACTATCAAGAAGGCAGGAATATTTTCAGTTAGAGAACTTTGTGTGCAGTTACACTGTAATCAGGGTATGACAGCAGCTCCTGCAGATGCACCAAGTTACTTCTAAAACAGCTACCTCAAGTGCTGGAGACAGACATGGACCACAAAGCCCACCAGGACAGCTGGGTCCATCTGAGGCAGCTTCCCTGCACACATCTCCGTGCTGGCACAGGCCAAACTGCAAGCAGTGCCTGAGCTGCTGGAGCCTGGAATGCTGTGGAAGTCAAGGTCACTCCCAAGCAATGCCCAGCAATGAAGATGGATCTGAGCTAAGACACCAGGGCACAAGCTGAAGCAGATGAGGTTCAATCCTGCTGCTAGACCATGGAGGTATTAGACTCAGCAGGAAGATAAAGAACTCAACAGGATGGTGAAGCCATGAAGGAGAGGAAAGGGAGTTTTGCAACACATGGCTGGGACTTACACAAATATCTTTGTATTACTGAAAAGCATAGGAGAGGCATATACTGTGACAAAGAATCCAGCTCAGGTTGCTGCCACCAGGTGCTTACCTCTATGCTTGATTACGTGGAAGGAACAATTTATTTTGGGGGAAATTTAATAGTAAAGGGTGTAGATTTTTTTGCCAAGTGCTCCTAAATTCCTTTGCTTTATGTTCACTGAACATCTGCTTTGTTAACAGATTTAATCCCTGTTTTGCATAGGAGTGTAGGAACATTACAGTGAGTGAATAACAAATATATTTACAGTGAAATTGGTTTTAAGAATGTACAGTTTATGCGAGCACGTATTCTTTAGAGACACACATACACATACATTAGGCATTTCTTTACAGTTAAAGGAAGGTGAACTCCTTCCACCCAAATTTGCAACGATTTCTATTTTATCTTACGGTTGTTAACCCATTTCAGGTTTAAAAGACATTGTCTATTACAGAAATCAGGGTGTGTACTGTATACCTGTCACCACAGATTGCACTGAAGTCAACCAACTTCGCTTTGCTTTAATTACAACTTCTCATATCAAGACAAAAGTGTTTGATAAAATTCTCTCCAAATGTCCTAGCTTTGTGCTTTTCCCCAACTAAAGCAGATGCCTGCCAAATAAAAACAACTTCAATCACAAAAGACAGACAAACATACTGAAAAGATTAAAGCAAACTAAAACCAAAAATGTGCCCAACTTCCTTCCCGCTATCATCAGAGACAGCACGTTTTCAGGATAGCAGCAGCAGCCCGGTGTGTCTGGCATTTAAAAACATCCAAGTAGCTTAGGCCCTGTACAGCCCCTGCTGCTCTAATTTATAAACTTGTGTCCAAGTCCTAGTTACAAAATCCCACTGAATTCACTGGAATTCAGTGCTTAGGTATATATTTTTATATATATATATTGCTTAGGTATATATATGTGTATGTATATATATATATTGCTTAGGTATAACTGTTCATAGTATACTGTTTGGTGAGAAAAATTTCTACCACTGCATACACTGGTGAGATAAAAACCTTAGTAACTAAAATGTTTTTCAGAATCTTGCTTTCCTGGAGAAGAAAAGTGTAATTATATGGAAATGGAAAAGTTATTTGGTCTTACTGTGGACATGGTAACTGTGGTCTCTGGGTCATCTTGTGCTCTTTCTGTCAGCTCATTTATTTTCCATGTGGCTGCTTGAATACATACAATTGTCTCTGGTTATCATATGCTGAACATGATTGTTATGCACTCAGATTTATTCCCAGAATGAAAAGTATTTGAAAACGTGTAGAATGAGGAGGAGAAACACAGCCATCAGTTGAGGAACTCGCACAGTAGAGTGCTCAAGAGCTTCCTTTCACATTTGCCTTTCCTGCCAAAAAAAAGGCATTGTTACAGTGACAGCCAAGAGGCGTGTGTTACAACAGGGAAATCACATGGGATGCAAAATTAAAATTTCAATCACAGGTGAAAAATCAAGGCAGCAGAGGAGTGGATATACAGCATTGCTCGTTTCTCCCAGTCTCCAAGTTGCATATGCCTTGTCCTTACTGGGGTGATACTGTGAGATGTCCAACGCCCAAAGCAGGGTAGCTAAGCACCCTCCCAGCAAGTGGAAGAGGTCATCCCTTCCACCAGAACAGCATCCAGTGCCGGAGCTCCTCTGCCAGCACAGCCGGACCTATGACAGGTCCTTACCAGTCAATCCCATCCAAGGAAGTGTGACTTTCCAATGCCCCAGGCTGGCATGGCCACACTGTCAGGATCGTGCAGCGCAGCTCAAGCACCAGCAGGACTTGCACATCATGCCATGGTTTCCACAGAGGAGCACAGGGGCTAATTCCTATGCTCAACTGAGGCTCTAAATTACACCTGATGACAATTGAAGACAAACTTGTCAAGCCTATGTAGGTCCAGACAGCAATCACCTGGGATTTCTCCATGCACAGACCACTGTATTTCTGAATGGCAGATGACGCTCCTCAGGTTCCTCTGCTTGCAGCTACTCAGTGTTTCTACCCCGTTGTAGTAATTCTGGCCGACAATGCTCACTATTACTTACCCTCTTTGGATAATCACACCCTTACAGTACCTCTCACAGCCTAATGTTTTACAACGAAATCTGAGAAGGTCTGAATAATCCTAATAGCAGTTCAGCAGTGGCACTTGCACAATTATTATATAAAAGGTAAGTGTGCTCCTACCAGCTCTCCATTTAAATTTATAGTGATTGGTTCCATACACTAAAATGGTAAATGAAAAAAATCCCCAGCCTTCATTTAAGAGGTTTATAGTAAATAAAAAAGTGCCAAGGGTTGTGTGTTGGCCCCCAGTCTGTCAGCTTTCTGTGCAGGAAGGGATTCAGGCTCCCTTTCTTAGGCATGCATAAAATGCCAGGTGATATACGGCTCTGCTCCGTAAGGAGTATGGCTGCAGCGAGAGCCAGAGCAACTTAGGCTGCTGGTCCTAAGGAAACCTTCTTTGCAAGGCCAGGCTGGAAGGGCTGAGGCAGAAATCACCCACATTCTCCTGCAGCCTGCTCTCCCAGCGGCATTCCAGCATCTTTTCAGTGTTTGGCAATGTACTGTTTCCCACCTACAAGGCGGTGTGGAGTTGGAGCCCTGATTAATCCAGTGCGCAGAGCCTTTACCATATCGAACAAAGGCTGGCAACTGTCAGATGTGGTGAATATTGCTTGAATTATTCTTTCCACAAGGAGCACAGACCTTGAGAAGGTTTTAAACGATCTCTAAAGGCCACTCTGTTGTTCTGAATTTAGGCTGCAACGAAGGCAGCTCTTCACTCATGAGATTTTAATTTCAGTAGCTGCAACAGTAACTTTAAAAAATACACCCTGGGTCTGGTTCTGACCCTTACTGAAGTCAAAGGCCAACGTACTGTGCAAGTCAGTGGGAAGAAAGGTGTGATTCTGCTACACAAAGCCAAGCGCTTGGAGGATGCTCAGCCCTATGCTGTTGAGAAATTTATCACTCCTGGGTGAAAACAGGCGCCTGCTCCTCTTAGCTGAATTCCCCGTGGCAGCCTACAGGCCCCCTTCTGCCCCTTGGCATGGCCTCGGGGGGAAGAACAGCCAGTACAAGCGGCACTGACCCCAATTTGTTGTATACGTAGAAGGCTCCAGAAGTGTTGTTCAGTGAGAACCACCTATTACTGCTCCCCCGAGGCCAGCTCCAAGAAGGGTCCTGCAGCTGAGTCAATCACAGCCACCAGAGAGGCATCCATCACCTTTACATTGCCCATATTGTCTCTATGCTGCCCAGACCTCTCTCCCTTGCCATAAGCCTGCCTCCTCTGCTCCTTGGTGAAGAAGGAAGGGCAGATCCTTCAGGTTTTCCCATGTTCATCAAGCTGTTTCTCCAATGGCACTCAACACCCTTGCACTGCCACAGTGTTTTGACCAAATGGACTTCCCAAAGCCTCTTCCTCCCAGACTGGCCACAGCTGCTGGATGGGATGTCTCAGAAATTGCCCCTCCATGGAGCCTGCCTACAGGGACCCACTCAGTAGTGCTCCCAGCCCATGTGGGAACTCAAGAGCAGGCCAGGAAATGGTGGGATCAGCCAAGGAGAACTTGCTTGTTGTCATCAGGGAAGAAAATTCTCTCCTGCAAGGCACCCTGTGCTGTCAGAGCAGCACATTGGCCAACAAAGACGGTCTTGGTGACAAAGATCCAGACATGAGTAAAGAGGTCCCTTAAGTACAGGCTGGGAGAAAGAAAGAACCAGCATGTTTGACCCCAGGAAGTTCAATTTTTACACTACTTTATCAACCACAGTAGGTCCAAACCACCTTGGTTTTGTCTGAAGCTGCTCCTGAAGGTGGCAGATCAAGGGAGATGCTGGACTCTGCTTCCTTCTTTCAACACATCTGAGATGGTGCAACCACAAGGACTTCATCCAAGAGGACTTCAAGAGCCATCATCCACGCAGGGACCATTCTCTCCAGAACAATGGGGTTACTGGAGGCCCCCAGGACCTGCCGCAGCCCTCCCACAATGGCTGGCAAAGGAGTACACTGGTGTGGGATGAGTCATTCCAAAACAAGGCTACACGCCTTAACAAGGAGGTGGTATTTGTCCCTTTATGTCCCTCCCCATCCATTTTTTTCCTTAAAATAAACAACCAAATGCTTTGCTGGGTGAGCCTCAACCCTACACAGCCCATGCTACTCACAGCTCCCTGCTGCTCCCCAGCTAGGCTCCTCTCCCTGGAGGGGAGATAAAGCACATCTGCCCTGCCACTCTAACCCTGGTGCAGCCTTTCCGCCTGCACACCCACACAGGGGTATTGCCTGTCCCCTAATTTGCTGTGATTTCACAGCAAGAAATGAAACCAGTGTTTCTATGAAGTAGGAGAAAGTAACCAGCCATGCAAGATCCAGTGACAGATCCCAGCGCAGCCAGCCATGGCTGGCGTCTACCTGACAAGCACTTTGTTAATGCATTTCTAGGCTCACCCCATGCTTGGGGAAATCCTCCCTTCCCTACAAGAGGACACAGAGCAGAATTGCCCAGTCTGAATCAATCAAGGCAGAATGGGGGGTCAGTGGTGAATCTGGGCACAGGAAGGGGTCTGCAAAAGTGCACTTGCAGATCGCTCAGTGGGAGTCCCTCCTCCCCCTGCTCACAGATCTGTAGCGTCAGGGGCTTTACACTCCAGTGGCACGCTCCCAGTGTGCCTTGCACATCTGCTGAACTAAGGTAAAACCGGGCACTGCAGAGCTGTGATTTATATCCACAGCGTAAGGCGCTGCTGGAGAGGTCCCTTCCTGCCGCAGGAGAGATACACACTTCTCTTACTCTCCTCACACATCCTGCCCTTGCAAGCACTGCACAGTTACAGAGGGAAAGCCCGTTAGGACATTGTCACCACTCCTCCTCCTCTTTCAGCAATCAGAAATCCCAAACCATGTGGGTGCTGTGCTACCCTGCAAAAGCACCAGGGCGGAGAAGGACCCAGGAATCCCTGCTACAGTCCCTGCTGCATGGTACCCCTGGACACTGGTGCTTACCTTTAACAGATGCTAACTGGAAGCTTGAATTGCTCCACCAGATCTGGCCAGCTAGCTTAGCTGCAAGAAGAGTTAACTCAGTGGAAGAAGGCAGAGGAATAAAAGGCCTTCCTTTCTCCTTTTGTCAGGCAACAGGTCACACATGCTTGCAGACAGATCCTAGCCTGTCTCTACTCTCACATTTCCTCTCTTCCGTTCCCTGACGCTTTCCTGACACATCTTCTTGTGCACTTTGCTCAGCTTTTGAAGTAACACTCCTCCCTGCTTGTTCTCCTTCCCACTCCTTGTCACTGGAGTCCTGCTGCTGTCATCACGCTCCCGTCAGACTTCTCCTTTCAACTGTGCATTTCCACGCTGTCTTTCCCAACTGTCACACACGCTTCTGGTTCAAACATCTGTTCCTCCCCCTCCCAGGGAAGTTACTCCAAAATGTGCTGCTTTCTGTCTGAATGGAAGAAAGGATAGATTTGGTTGTACACATGGTGCTACACAACCATCCATGCTGCCAAGTGAAAAGCTCCTCTTCTGTTATTTGGTCACATCAATTCCCAGGGCTACAGGTTCATTCCTGCTTATTCTGCCAGGATGAAGAGTGAGAAGCGTGTTTCTTGTGCCCTACAGCCTGGTTTCTCAGGGCTAACAGCCTCTGCTATGCATGGAAGCAAAGGAGAGGGATACTCACTACCCCACACAGAAGGAGGGTCTGCATGATCATTTTCTGCAATGGGGTTAATATATGCCCTGCAAGAATGACACCTTGAGCTGCCCACCCTCACCGATGCCATGGGGAGGCAGGGGAGCAATCATGGGGTAAGAACAGCTGGATTCTGTACTCCTCCTTGCTCTGCCCCTATGCACTGGCTGGAAGCAAGGAACCTCCAGCAGCTGCATGGAGCAGTATGCCTCGGCAGCATTACTTTGTCTCCACACTTGGATAGACAGAAACCCAAAATCTAGTTCTGTGTAAAACCTCAGTGTAGAAAATGACATTACAGCCCTTGGGCCCTTCCATCTTGCTCCAAAACATTTGGAGACTCGGCAGAGACAGCAAGTGGAGCTGTGGGGGATCCTCTACTTCCAGGCAGAAGGAGGACTGCAAGCCCATGCTATACATCCACCATCACACCAGCTCCTTCAACACCTCAGCTCAGCCATCCCCATGGGCTGGGTATCACTTACCAGCAGGTTTTCATTCACCAGGCATCCACATGTGAGTGCCTGAGGCTGCTCCGTATCTGTGGCAAGCCTCTGATAAAAGGGTGCAGCTGGTCATGACCCAGTTGAGTTAACACAGGTGAAGCAGTCAGTTTCTCTATTAGGGCAGTCACTCAGAGTCCGTCCTCTCATAGGTAAAACTGGTCTTTCATGGGCCTTGGACACATCCCCAAACCAGGGGTCAGAACTTAGAGAAGAAGGTTCAGAAAGTTCTTGTTACTGGTGGTAAGTTCTGCCCGTAGCTGCAACCACAGTGAAGAATCTGAAATGTTGTTTCTATTCTATTCTCCTTTCAGCTGCTTATAAGTTTCTCAGTTTCCCATTCAGGGTGAAACGTTCAGTGCTTGGTCTCAGCTCAGAGATGATTTCTTTTATATCCCCCTGCAGGAACTGTGAGCAAAATACTAAATGCAGTAGATTTGGAGTTTGGGGAGTGCGAGCAATCAGTTATTTCCCCCTTGTTCCCTCTGATACCATATGCTCCAATTGGAAATTTTACACTTGCATACTGGTAACTCGTAAATGGTGGAGATGATAGACTTCAAATATTCTTATTGAGAGGCAGAAAACAAACCCAGATTTAACAAAATAATTGGTTCAATATCATTAGGATGAGTTTAGAGAATTCTGATAATTCTTTTCCCTCTCCCGGTGTCCCAGGAGGGGCAAGTACACACATTTTATTTTAATCTATGTGCTATAATTTTAAGGATAGCTGACACAAGGTGGTCTTTGTTAAGATGTATCTATTCGCTTTGAAATCAAGTTCAGTGCTTACAGGCTGCCAGAAATCACAGACCTATTATTCCAGGAACTTTTGATTTCCACTGTCAAAACCATCAGAAGTCTGTAAGCGGAACAGCTCCCATTCAATGCATTTTTGTGCTCATTTGCAAACTCTGTGGTGGGATTGCTTAGAGCTTTGTTCCCCTCAACCCTAAACTCACTTAAAACTAGAGGCAGAGAATATCTGAAAACCCAGCCTTCCAGAAGCAACCTCAACCACATCCTCAACCCCAATGTCTCTTAGGGCACCTTATAAGTGTTTGCTTTGAAGTCAGTCCTGCAAACCCCATGGAAACTTTGGATAACCTTTTCATACTTTACATGTCAGTATAAATACATAAGTTATAAGACACAGTCAATGAACTATAAGCACAGGTACTTCTGAGCACAAGTGCTCAATCACTGCCAAATTCATATATGCACATAGGTGGTTATATTATCTTTTCCAGGGACAGGTTTATGGAGGGGATGTAGGGAGACAATATCCCCCTATCCCTTCTCCCTTTACCATAGCATGGATGTCCTTTTGTATGTGTCTGGGGAGTTACTGAACAGCTGTCCAGCCCATCTTGCTTCCCCTGCACCATCCATGGTCCTGTTTACAGCTGAGAGTCACTACTGACAGCTCACATGGATTTAACAACTTGGACAGCAAATCACTACCAAAACAGACTGGCACATTGTGACATAACAAAACAGCTCACAAAATGACCCCATTTGGGCAAGGAAGTCTCATGACCTGAAACTCACCAAACACAAGGGCTGGCAGACCATCGAGGAAGCAGATGATGGCTCTCTTCCAATCCTGCTGACCAAAGTGACACAGCAGCCACCTGGAACACAGCAAGAGATGAAACCTCCTTGGCAAGCAGCTCCCAGACTGTTCTCTGCCTCCCCAGCATCTGGCATAAGCTAGTTTCACATGTAGAGCCCTTGATCACTTTGATCTCTCAGGTAGTTATTACCTTAATGATTCATGATTGTTAATCAGGTCTCACCTGCAAGCAAGGGAACCTCCACACCAGCCTGCTAACATTGTAGGCTCACTTCCCCAGCCTCCTGGGAGCTCCTTTGTTACACCAGTCCCACAGCACGGTGATTCTATTAAGTGCTGTGGAATTAATCTTGATTTATGGCAGTGGGAGGGAGAGAATTATCAAGTCCTGTGTCCTCACCTTCTGAGCTACTGGTACTGCTCGGATCTTCTTCATACTTTAAGTGCTTTATTCTGGTCAGGTTGGTAGAATTACTTTGCTTCTGTATCCTTAAGCTCTGGTCATTCTTTGCAGTAATTCCTGGTAGCGGCTTCTGGAAAGGTGTTTTTCTCCCTCCACTCCCCACAATAAATGAGTTTGTCACCTGAAATATACTGCCAGTGTGTTACATGTCCCACAGTGTTTGTGGTTATATCAGAAGTGTTTGTTTATAGCACCATAATTCAGCAATATCTTGATTACAGGAGAGATGATGCTGTAACTCACTGTGGCTAGAGAGAATTTTTCTTTTCCTTTAATATAAAATGTTGATTTTCAGTCAATAGACTGAAAGAAAAGAAGTACAGCTGTTGCCCTAGTAACCAGCTGCCTTGTAAACCATAAGATGTTAGGAGCATAAGGTGTTAATTGTTCCAAGTGCTGCTTGTGGTCAGGGATAAAAGATAGAGTGGGAGAGATCTTAAGAAATATCTGGGAAGATAAAGTCAGCTGGTCTCTGCTTGGAGAGAGCCTATATAGCAGCAAGTGGAGACACAAGGTAAGGAGAAGTAACACTGCCATTAGAATGGCCTGAACTGTGGCCATGTGTGACAGCATCCATGAGAGAAGCCTCTGAAGGTACAACAATGCTGGGAGCCTGGTGGGTTTTTACCAGCATGGTCACAGCTCAGCACCTCCACCATCAGATGCAGCAACTTTTTCTGCCACTGCTCACCCCCTCTTCCTGACCAGACCCACCTCGACTTCCCCTTCTGTTCTGTGTCCTGGGGTTTCCATGTGCTCTGCTCCAGGAGGCTCCTTCCAATGAACTAGTCAGCATGGATTGATGCCTGTCCTGCAGAAATTGCCACCACCTCTCTGCAGAGCATTTCTTCCAGTGGAACAAGCCAGGACAGAGCACCCCTTCTGTCACATACCTGTGAGTGCTGCAACACAACTGCATTGCCCCGCTGAGCGGCTCCTGCTTTCACACCTCTTGCATGGCACAGCACACAACATCTCCCTAGCTGCTCCTGCTGTGCATTCATCCCAGCCACGCTGCACGTGAGGAGTGGGAGCAGTTGCTTGCCCAGAGCACAGACTGAACTCCACAAAGATCCGTGTTTCTGTTCCAGCCTCCTACACGACAGAGCCCTCATGTCCAGCAGGCTGAGGCTGGGACAGCAGCACCAGAAGGACTCCTTCTGCAAGAGGCCTCTAAGGAAGAAAGGCAGCATGAGGTCTTCTCTCCCATCTCTCTCCCTTCTCTAAGATGAAAGCAAGCTGGCGAGACAGCAGCTTCATGCTCTGCAGCATCTGCCACCTCTCCCTTCCCTCCCCCCAGCCCCAGCCCAGCAGACAGCAAACATGAATACTGCTAAATCAGGAGGAAAGTTTCCTACTGTAACCTTTTTTAGCTATTACCTGCTCTCGATGCCCACAGAACATGCAAGTACCTGCAATCCCTTAGGAAATAAAGATAAGGAGTATAGATAAAAGCAGCATATTTATAAGGTAACCCCCTCCCAGGGGCAGGGTTATGCTAATCAGAGAGACTGTCCCAGTATAACACATGGATTACATACACACCATAGTAACATATGGAGAGGAGGGCTCACATTCAGCACGGCTGCCCTCCCCAGCACACACGGCTGGAGAGTTTCACACTATGGACAGAAACAGGCAAGGCCAAGCTCAGGCTTTGACCTGAAGAGAAAAAGGATGGGACAACAGCATTGGAAAATTGGCAGTTCTGGCAAAAGCCTTCCCCTGGGCTCCAGTTTCCAGGGATATATTCCTGATGTCTCATTAGCTTCTGGGGAGAAGTTGTTTCCGCTGTTGTTTTTATTTACTAACTCTTAATGTTTATACTTGGCAATAAAGCCACATATCCAGTGAGCCACACCACAAAGCCCTGTATGCAGCCTAATGATGTGTCACATTGGTGATGGAGGCTACATCTAGCTACACAACCTTCATATCAAATCAGAGGTTTATTTTCTCTTTCTTGGTCCCTCAGGTACAGTTGCCTGTGATAACGCAGCTGTCTCCATCTCAGCATAGCCTAACACAGACCTGTGCCACTGACTGGGGCTGGGATTTCTGCCATGCATCCTCTACACTAAGAAAACAGAGTTTGAGCACAGATGAAACTGTGAAACCATGAATTTTTCCAAGTGGAGAGTGCCTGGGCAGCACTTCTCATAGCAGAGCTGCGTTTAAACTGGGGTCCATGGGTAAGATGGTTGAAAAATAAAGATGAATGAGTTTGGTTGGATAATTATATAATAAAATTGAAGGCTGTGGAGTTTAGCTCAGGAATATAATCCAGTATATGTGGCTGGTTAGCCTGCTCCCTACTCCTGCCCTAACCCTTAACCCAGCAAGGAAATCTGCCCTTCATATGGAGTCCCAGGACAGAAATGTTTGGGTAGCACAGCCCAAGTACCTGCACAGGATCAATCCTGCCCTGTGCCAGTCTCCCAGTAGATGGTTTTGTGCCCCATGTGTGAGTCAAGGCAGCAGAGAGGTGCTGCAGGACTCAACATCGGCTTGTCTGCTGCTACAGCTGGACCCCTAACTCTACACAGCTGAACAAACCCCATCCCAGGGAAGGCTTGCAGGAGGCTCTGTGCTTGGTAGGAGCACAGGGCAGATGTTTAGGGGTTGACAACCCGGTTGATAGCTTGGGGGCTTCACAAAGGCAAGCCATCCCGTAGGTGGGTGTGATGGAGGCCTCTGCTCACGGCCCACTAGGATAAAGCTGGCCCAGGGTCAGAGACAGGTTTGGAGCTACCTCTCATTCCAGTAAATACATGGCTACGTAGAGGGTGGTGTCTGAGGGTAGAAAGGGCAGCACAGCAAACCTGAAAGGAAAACTGAGGTTGGTTTTGCTATCTGGAGTGACTGCTTTCCTACATTCAGCTTTCAAGCTGCTGCAGAACTGAAGAGCAAAGGAGAGGCAAGTTCTCTTTGACTTGGGAAATCCTTCAGAATTAAAGCAAACCCATTTTGAAAGGCAGACTTTGTCAGCTGTCCTATTTTTAGGATTGACTCCTACAGGTCCTTCCCTTCAATGATAGCAGTTTTGCCTGAGCAATGACTAGGGACTGCAGGATTTAGGCTTTTAATAAAGCAATTGTGTAATTAAAAATAAATGGGTCTCTAGTGTCACTATTTGAAAGAAAAGAAAACTTAGATCAAATAAGGCATTTCTTTCTTTTTGGTTTAGTCTGCTTGGATCATGCAGAGCTTTAATGACGCAGTCACAAATGTTGTATTTAAAAGGCCTCTTAGTTGCTGAGAGGAGCCCCAGGAGAGGGCTATTAACTGGCCAAATTAGGCTATTTATTTTTGTGAGTTTTGCAAGTTTGAAAAAGAGAGGCACATTTTCACTTAGGAGAGTGATATTTCAAATAGGTCACAGGAAACTCTGGCAGGCGGGGAGCAAAGCAGAGCGTCAGTAGGAAAACATTAACCAGAGTAATTTTGCAAGTGCAAGTCGACATTTGGGTTCCTAATGGCGTCTGAAGTCCATTCAAAAACCTTTCAGTAAAATGGGGGCAAGGCATTGCAGCTGCGCAGGAGCCCTGGCCTCATCCTGGAAGCCTAAACCAGCAGAGCTGTGCCTGCAGAGGCTGCTGCAAGAGAAGGCGGTGCTGCCACCAGAGCCGATGAGCTGGCACTAAGTGTCTGAAGGAGATGGACTCTGCCTTTTTGTTGGGAGATAGCTGATGCTTGCACAGATGGCCGGTCAGTCCTGAAGATTCACTGCTCCTTTCCCTTCTCCAGCTTTGACTTTGATTCTTCAGACAATCAATAACTTCATTTTCCTGTCACAGCCCAGAGCAAACCAGGAGCGACTTCAGTAACTCCCACAAAGCAAGGTGCATGCATACCTGAAGAATCAGATCCAGTACTTTTTACATGCATGAGGCTGGTTGGGAAAGGCCCCTCCACACCATTTCAACAGCCATGGCATTTGCTTGCCAGTAGCACACCATTTCCTCCTTTTCCATCTGCAAATAACCTGGCCTTGAACACTTGCAGGGATGGGGCAGCCACAGCTTCTCTGGATACGCTGTGCCAGTGCCTCACCACCCTCACAAGAACTTCTTCCTGATCTCATCGAGATCTCCCCTCTGTCAGTTTAAAACCACTCTGCCTTGTCCTGTCCTTACCTGCCCTTGTATAAAGCCCCTCTCCAGATTTTCTTGTCACCCCCTTTAGGCACTGGAGCTGCTCTAAGGTCTCCCCAGAGTGTTCTCTTCTCCAGGCTGACCCAGCCCAGCTCTCTCAGCCTGGCTCCAGAGCAGAGCTGCTCCAGCCCTCAGAGAATCTCCGTGGCCTCCTCTGCACTCACTCCAATAGGTCTATGTCCTGATATCGGGGGTTCCAGAGCTCGACGCAGGACTGCAGGGGGGGACCCACTAGAGTGGAATAGATGGGGAGAATGCCCTCCCTTGACCTGCTGGTCACGCTTCTTTTGGTGCAGCCAGGATACAGCTGGGTTTCTGGGCTGTGAGTGCACACTGCCAGCTCATGTAGAGCTTCTTGTCAACCAATGCCCTCAAATTTTTCTCCTCAGAGCCATTCTCAATCCAGTCTCCATGCAGCTTGGAGCTGTGCTTGAGACCTTGCACTTGGCCTTGTTGAACTCCATGAGGTTCACCTCTCAAGCCTGTCAAGGTCCCTCTGGACATCATCCCTTCCCTCCAGCATGTCGACTGCACCACACACTTGGTGTCATCAGCAAACTCGCTGAGGGTGCACTCGATCCCACAAAGATGCTGAACAGCACCAGGCCCAATACTGACCCTTGAGGAATGCCACTAATGTCCAGAACCAGGAGGGATTTCTGGCATGGTGAGGGCATGGGCTGGACTGTGACCACCACTGTATGCTCAGCATACAGGGACAGAGAGAGTCCTTCCAGGCATGTCACAGAAAAAAACCCTGCTCCAAACTGTGCCACTGGTAGCATGTGACAGGTCAGGCATTAAAGCACACATTTTTGCAGAGGTGAGGATGGAATTTATAGGGACAGGGAAAGGACAAACATGTTGCTTGTCCATTTGGCATGAAGAGAGCTATAAATATTGTGATAATTGTCTCCGGGAACCACAGACAACCTCTGCCCTGCTTGCAACCACGAACTGTCCCTTTGGACTTTACTGAAGCTATTCAGGTTGCAAGTCACCAGCTCAGTGGGCTCAGTTCTCTGCTGTTCCCAGTAAAAATACCCTAACAAAAGCAGCCCTTTCCAAGGAGATACAGTGGCTGGTTCTCTGTCTTAGACAAAGCAGTTTCAGTCATCACCCAGTTGTAAAGTACTGTTCTCCAGCTGGACCTTGTATCTCCTCCAGTGTTAGTAACACCTCTAGATCTACTCTGCTTATTAGCTTAGTCCAGGAATATTTATTTAGCAGATAAAACTTTGATGCTGCTCCTGTAGAAATAGCTTACAATATATTAATAAGGTCATAATATTAGTCAAAAGCATTTCTTATGCACCCTTGAATGTTTGGGATAAAAGAAACAGCAGATGCCAAAGGTCACAAAGCAAATTGAGTCCTTATGAGGAATTAAACATCAGATAAAGAAAAAAGATGGTAATCTGGGGGTACCGTAAACCACTCTTTCCTCCAGGACCTTGCAGCTCACAGTGTGCTGTGTATAATATGTGCACATTTACCATTTAAAAACAACTAAATACGTATCCAAGTCCATTAAGATCCAAAGAAATAATTCATACTTTTCCCGTAGATAGGCGCAAAGCAAACCATGCCATAGTGCAGTCCTGCAACAAAGAAGTGTTTCTTGATGAATGCATCTGCATAAAACACCCCACCACCTGCCTGGCCAAGATGGGGCTTTCATGTAGATCTGCAGGGCTCTGGGCCACTTGTGTTTTCCCTAAATGGCCAGCTCCTTGCCAAGGTACTGGGGCACCTCATCCCGCTGCTCTTCTCCTAGGCAGGGCACCAGCCAACACCAGCCATGACATGGCTCTTCCTGGCCTCAGCCATGCCAGGGGCAAGGGGGCAGGCTCACCAGCAGCTGTGCTGCCCTCCCCAGCGAAGGGCAAAGACATTCCTCATGGCAGCAAGGGGCTGGCAATGCCCACTGCAGAAACCTCTCCTTGGCCTGTTTTCTTTTTGTCTCTGTTTCCCCATTCAGGAAAAAGCTTCTGTCACAACAGCTGCTGATTCATTTTCTGACTTGGTGCCGAGCGTGCCAGACATAACATTCATTTGCTGCCAAAGTGGTAAAAACAATGACTTACGAGCTCATTTTTCTTCAGCTGATTATGTTGGATGGGGGGAGAGAAAGGAGCTTTAATTAAAATTAGATAAGGAGGAGAATAAATACACTGAGATGCAAAAAGCAATGCTCTGCAAAACAAGAAAGGGGACAGCATCCGTGGCAGTGTGGGAATACCCATCACCAAACAAAGAAAACAAAGCGGTTCCATGGTCAACAGTGAAGACTCTGTGATCGCTTGGCGCCCTGCACCAACTTCTGCTTCTCTCTCTGTTTCCCACCTTTCAGGTGTTAGCAGCTTCCCAGACCACATGGTGCCTCCCAGACTGAGAGGAATGAAGCTGTCTGAAGATGGCTTTGACAAGTAGTCTGGTCTTTGATCCTTCCCCTCTTTCTTTCCTGACCACTTCTTGGGTTGAAGGAGTCCCACCATCAGCATTTATCTGTTTCTTAAAACACCAACTAATGATTTGCCCAGTAGACAGAATACAAATCCAACCCACATTTTGGTGGTGCCGAGGACAGTGGTAATTGGACTGAGATTTTGGCTTGCCTATTATACATTAGAGACAAGAGAACCAAGTCTGAATGTGATGAGTGAAGTCTGGCCTGTTAGACTCTCCAGTATTTTTCTCAATATCTGACAGGGTGCTTTGGACATATGGGAATTAAGCGGATCCATGTTCCCTGACAGTCATATGCCACAGGTCATATTCGGAAACAGCTCACCAGGTCACTAACACTCATGGCAAACATCCAAGTGAAGCCTAGGTGCCAATAGTGGCACACATAGCCTACACGCAGCATTGTCCTACTGGTGCTCAACATCAAATTCATTTTCTAACAGACTGGCCCATCTGCAACCAACACAGAGGAAACAGCACCAGTTCTGCTGGACAAAATGGATGGAGAACCAATCATACTAACTCACACATTCGAGTTCTCTAATGTTTCTATTACGAGTTAGTGTAGAACATAGCACAGCGAAGTGCTGACCCTCCCACCTGAAGGATTTGGTTCCACTGTCTTTAAGTAGTTGCCAAACCAAGCTGCTGTCCTCCTTGAAGAGCTTCATTCGCATGGGGTTTG